GTCAAGTGTTGGTAATGTAGAGTTTACAATGAGAAAAACAGGAAGAGAAATTTCTCCTCCCGACATCTCTTTGGCCAGAAAATTTCCATTTTGAATTTCTTTTTTTTTAAAGGTTAGTTTTTTTTTTCTAAATTATTTGATGATATATCAGTTGCTTGAATTTTCTCTTTTTTTTTTTTGGATTCTTTAATAATTGTATTATATCACTACTATCGAATGTCTACTAGGTATTCTGGTTGGCTACTTAATCTAGAAGAGGTAAGAGGTGCAGTGAGAGCAATGTGTAATTCATTTTCAGGATGTTGACATCAATTGTTGTGTTATTCTTAATTTTTGGACACTTTATGGGACATTCTTAGTCTCTAATGTAAAAAAGATGCAATATTCACATTGAATGGCTGATTGCTAGAGTTTGAATAGGAATCTCTCTACCAATTTCGTTGCCATCAACAGGATGTAAGCTTATCTAAACCTTAACACGAGGGAGTGAATTGATTTCAACAAAATTCCAATAAGGGTGGGTTGGCCAATAAGGTTAAATCTCCCTAGCCCTGGAGCTGCCACGATGTCATATGGTTACTAAGGTGAAATTTACTCGGGAAAGGCCAAAAATTTATCACTTACTATGCCTTGGGCTAATGTAGCTTTGCCGTTTGACTAGCCACTATGTCCAGACAATCTCATGATCCCTTCTAATTGTCCAAAAGTTTTGAGTGTTATATTAGTTATGCCTTTGAGAACTCACCTTCTCTTTTTAGTTTCTAGATTTTGCAGTGCAATATCTACCAACTATTGAACAAAAAATTTGCAGTGAAAAGTTTTTTCCTGTCTTAGTTAATCAATGTGATTGTCCTTTCTAAAATTGTTGTTTCTTTTCGGGGAAAAAAAATCTGAATGTCCTTTCCTCCCATTGTGAAGATATTCGGTGGTTGAGTCATTGTAAAATCTACATTCCTTTTGAGAAATATGTTTTCAGTGATTGGAATGATTTCATAGCATCCTGTTCTAATGCTTATTGGCTACTGCTCAAGGAAGAATTGTATTCAAACCACTGGCTTTCAGAAGTGAATGCTTGTTGTGTTGTCGTGATTTAATTTTTTTGTTTATAGGAATTGATGAGAAAAGAGCTCAATAGAAGCCATGATGGTAATTCATTCGTTCATAAGATGATTACAATCTATCTCTCTCCAAGTGAGCTATCAATCCTTTTTTCCCTTTGTTACATGATATTTAGAATTTTTTTTGGCTGTCTTAAATCTTCATGGTTTTAATTGAATGAAAAGTATCTCCATTGTAGCGATGTTAGAGGGATTATGATTGTGTTGCGGCTGATTAGAGAAAAAACTCTAAAGGATGGTTAGAAAAAAGAATAAAGTGACGATTTCTAGGTCATTTTAATTGTTTTTCTTGGATTTATCCTTCTTTGAGCTTGGTATATATACATGTGAATCTCTCTTGTTTTGGTGCTTGAATATATGTACTTCTACTCAAAATTTGGAAGCAACAATTGTATGTGGGTGTGAATTTATGATATCTCAATCTTTACCTCCCCATTTCTCCTTATCCTAGGTCTCTCTCTTGTAGGTCTATAGAGATCTCTGATTATTCAACTTCTACCTGACTTTGATTATAAAAGATTGTATTCTATGAGGTACATGATGTTGGTTTTTTTGTCGAGTCTAGTTTGTATATGTGATCCGAATGATGACCCGATCCGAAGTAATGTTGCGTGATTTTTTAATAAAAAATTTTCTGAGGCTTAGTCCATGGAGCGAAGGCTTGGGCCGAGTCCATAGAGCGAAGACTTGGACCCGTTATATAACCCAGTGCGTAGGACATATAAAACTCGTTGTTTTGGTGATTAGAGTTAATATATGGTGGATTGTACAGCCGCTCTCTGTATTCAACTCTCTCAATAGTGAAATCCCTGCAGTTTCGTGGACGTAGGCAAATTGTCGAACCACGTAAAATCTGTGTCTTGTTCTTTCTTGTTTCTTATTGCTTTATATTCTTAATTTGTTCTTCGATTGTGTGTGTTTGTTAGTAGATTTAAATCGTGTTAAATCCCAACACATGATCCTGACTTTTCTCATATATACACAAAAGAAAAAGCTCAGGTAAATAAATAGAGGTTCAAGTTTAAACATTTCTATCTCTGGACCTTTTTCATACTTGTTTTTTCTTTCTCTATCAGATCCCTTTAAATCCTTGCATTGTGTTGGTAGGTTCACGTTTAGCTGAAAAATTAATCTTCATGGTTCAGTTATGCAGACTTTGCTTGCCTTCTACTTGGTCTTAAAAAAAAAAAAAAAAAAAGTTGGTTGCCTTCCAATTAGTTTTTCTTCAGTTTCGTCTTTTTGGCAAGGGCCTCTCCATTTTCTCTCTTAATGCCTTTAGTTTTGGATATTCAAAGAATTTGAATCTGACAACTTTCGTACCAAATTAAACATATAATAAATTGCTCCTCTCCATCACACACCCTCTCCGTCTCTTTTTGTATATATACAGATTCTTTATTTTTGTTTTTAACTTAGTGAATTTACTCTGTTCTAGACAAATTTATTAGAGAATATGCAATTCTTCAGTGGTACCTTCTGTAACTTTGTGCTTAAAAATATGTTATCCTTTGGTGGCTATGTTTTGGAACTATGTGTTTATCCTTTTTCTTGATTGATTGTTCTTTGAGAGTTTTATTTGCTACAGACATTTCACAAGAAAAATAGTTGATTCAAAAACTAAATACCAAAAAATTTTCGTGGCTTTCAAGAAATAATTTATTTATCTGCAGATTGAATGTGCATTTCGAGTCTATGATGCTTTCACTTTCTTTTGTTTTTGGCTGTGAATGAGCTGCTTTGATAAGAAATTGATTGGTTTGATTTCATTTTACTTCATCTATCCAGACTTTGTGGCCATTATGAAAGGGGGCTCTCAATAGAATTGGTGAATTTCACGAGTGTTCGGCCCCATATCATGTGAAAAATATTAGCCAAAGTGTCATTTCCACACTTTGTTGTAGAATGTAATTGTTGAGTGACTATCATGGGTGAGTGTCTTGTGAGGTAATTGAGTTGGTCCAATGAATGTCAGATTGGGTACTGATGATATTAGTCTTTTGAGTTTTATCATCTCCACTTCGTTTGTACAAGTCTTTTGGTCCGTGTAGAATGTAAAAGTTTTCAGTTCATCTGCACTTCATATTTTTATATAAACATATATATTACTTTATATATATAAACATATATGTAATCGTTGCTATAGAATCCTGGGGAAGAATAGTATTTTAATATTTAAATTTAGAGGATCAAAATCTTTGCAGATAGATGATTATTGCACTTCATATCATGTTATCAACAAGAGGGTCTAGCTAGACCCAGTTGATTACCTTTGAATTTCTCCGAATTCTTCCAACTATGAAGTTAAGGGGTTAATCCTTTTCAAAAACAAAACTCGACTTCTTATGTTCCTTAATTACTCAGCAGTGCTGGTCGCTCAATGGCCTTTTGTTGCTGCCAGAAATGTTCAAGTCACCCAAACTTACCAGCACTGGACTTCCACGGACATGAGTGTTGGAAATTATTTCCAAGTTAATGAAGTCCAAAACAGTTGATTTAATCTCCAAGTTGATTCAATAGCCAAGTTGTCCAGTTCATGATATTGATGCCTCAAAAGTCTTGAAATTTATTATGGAAAATGGACAATAACTTCATCATCATGGCATATCAGCTGCGTCGAAGAGGAACAGTTTGGCCATCAAGTGAGAACCCAGGTGCATAGAGATCAAGTGCATGAACAAAAACAGATACAATGACGATGCTCTAACTTTCTTTATTACTCTTCCATGAACAATTCCTGAACTCTTTTGGGCTTTTAGGATAAATCATCAACTCTCTCTAAAAAGTTTAATTGTCAGAAATGGAATAATTTAAAGATTGATACACTTTATGACACCCTTCACATGCGGGTATATTTTGGGTCAAGTACGTACAATTATTATAATTATTAATGTGACAGTGGACGGAAAAATGATATAATAAAGACTAAATTGACAAAAAATGTATGTTTTAGGGACTGAAAATACTATAAACCCTTCAATAGTATTCGTACTAATTAATTTACTAATAACGAAAGAAACTACGTACATGATAAGTGGGGGCTTAAAAGCCTTTACCTCCACACAAGGAAACAGAGAGTATGTCCAAGTAGACCCAAGTAGAAGTGAGGGCATAACACAAAAATATAGCCATACTGAATTAGGTCAATAAATTAGATCCCAATATTATTGCTCAAAATATAAACATTGCAACCTTCAAATAGTTACTGATATCTAGAAAAAAAAACCGTAGGCTAAATCTGAAAATTCTATCCTCGAACTCCACCAGAACACCCCCCCTCCCAAAAAAAAAAACAAAGGCATTCAGTTTGCTTGCCTCACCTTCTTCTTGGTTCTCTTTTGTTGCACCCATGCAAAAGTTTCCTCAAACCATTCATGTTTACGAGTGATCAAAAAGTGCCCAATCACCAAACCAATTACTAGTCCACTTCCTTATCCCATCCAATCAAATTTACTTGGGAAGTCTGAATTTTCATTGTTGATTGTTAAGGGGGGTGGTGGGGATGCTTTATAACTTCTGCATTTCTTTGACAAAGGATCTCCACACACAGCTGGATTCCCATCAAATGATCTCCACACAAACGTTGTCGATTAATAATTTTCTAGCATCAAATGCAGGGGCAGCAGAGCAGCGTCTGGTCAAAATTTCATGAGTGGAAAGCTGACTACTCTGATATTTCCATTTCCATTAACCACTCCCACTTCTGGGGCAGTTCTGGAAGCGGTTTCTTCATTTTCATGAGTACAAGTGCTTCCCAGCTCAACCTTCCTTTTCTTAGTGGGTCTACTGGCTTTGAGGATCGGTGGTTCATGATACACACTATACCCCAATGGAACACATATCACCACCAGCATTTTTTATATGATGTTTTCCATCGGTTTTTTTTTATTGGACTTTTCCATTGATCAAATGAATAACATCAGCAGATGTTGATAATGCATCAGGATCCAAAACTCCAGTAGGGGCTCCAGGACACGAGCTCCAATGAAGCGATGCATTAGAAGCATACTCAGATCCGTGTCCAGAATGAAGTCCTGAGACTCCATTTCCTGTAAAGTATACAGAAGTAGTTGGGACATATGTAACTCCATATCCATGACTTCTATACCGATCATCAGGCACATTCGACCAAGCACAATAGGGGAAAGAGCTATTTATTGGGGCTGCTCCTGTATCAACGGCAATGAAAACACCACGGCAGTTCTTACAGGAAAATATTTTATTGACGTACTTCCAAAGATATTCATACTGCACATGACAAGAGGTGCACACAGTCCAAAAAGTGCCAAGTTTATTGTGAGAGGCTGAAGATATGGAAAAATTGTCTAATCCTGTAACCCCGGCACTCTGAACTGAAGATAAGTTTGTCTGGACAACACTGGATGACAAATTCATGTTTCTTTTGAGATCATACGTGCTTCTTTTGTTAGAATCAGACAACAAAGTCCATGCATCAGAGACAAGCTTGAATGCACCATCAGCTCCCACAGTTTTGTTCTATCAGGGTGGAGCAAAACGGCCATCTTTCTGTACTGTTTCTTCAACATAGCTTTGTCTGCAGATGGCTCCAATCCAAGAATAGAATAGAAATCTATTTCTCCATTAATTTTCACCTCAGAAGCAGTATAAATTTCAAATGTGGCTACCATTTGAGATATACTCTCCAGTTCAGGGCACAACTTTTGAGCCTTTAAAGCATAATCCTTAGCCCCACAAAAGTTTTTCACCGCAAATAGCTTCTCGGCATTCTCTTTAGCTCTAAGGGCCTCTTCTTTGGTTGTTTCCATCTCAAAATTCAAATTGCAAACCCAATTCTCCAAGGAAATTTACAGAAAATCCATAATGCTTAGTAACTGAAGGCCAAGTCTCAACAAAACCATATCTACATATCTGCAAAATATAAGACAACTCAGAATTTCAAGCTATAATTCGGTTTTTGGTTAATGTCCAATTCATGTAAAAAGAAAAACTAACATCTATATAATAAAGTAGTTTACAACTCAAATTTCAAAAGATAAACAAAATAACTTTTGTTATTCGCGGTTGAGATCGTTTTAAATTTTACTTTAAAGTTAATCTAACGGCTAATATTAACACTTTAAATTTAATAGAAAAAATAAACCCCTAATTTTGTGTTTGGAGTGACTTTTTAAAAGTATTTCTCATAAATATTTTTTCTCATAAATAATTTTATTTCTCATAAATATTTTTCTCATAAAGTATTTCTCATAAATATATTTTTTTTTAAAATAATATTTGAAACCGTCTCATCACTACCACTACCACCACCGCCGCCGCCACCACCATCGTTGTCGCCACCGCCACCACCACTGCCACCGTCACTGTCGCCACCGCCGCCACCTCTCGCCGCCACTATAACCGATGCTTAAATTCATTTATCTCTCCTTTATGTTTGTGATTTAATTTTTGATATGAATATAAATATGTTTATTGTTTATTATTTTGTATTACTCTGTGCCTTTAGACACAGGCAATAACTAATCAATTCAAATTACAAAACTAAAACATAAGTTCAATTCAAAAATATCCAAGATTTCTGAGTCAGATAACACAATTGAGAATAATGACATAACAAATCACAAGATCTCGAAATTAATATTGAGTTTAGAGTTGAACTCAAAAACCCAGTTCACCTACATTCGAAATCCATACTTTTTTAACCAAATATCCTGATTAAGATCATAAATCATTCAAATGAATTTACCTCAAACACACAGGACTTCAATATCAACTTAAAATTTACACCTAAATCAAAAGAAAAAAAATTGATCATATACCCAACAACCACAAAAAATCAACCTAACATCAAGAATCAAGAGACATTAACCCTTCCAATATATTTCCATTCAGTACAGAACAGTCAACCAATTCAAACTCAGTCAAAATCAAAAGCGCGTCCATCACTACACTCACGTAACCAAATTCACATAAACTCTCTACATTCACCAAGATCCAAGCTGAAAACAACCTAATAAAAATACCCAAAAAAACCTCAAATATTCCATTACATTCCCCACAAATTGAGATAATAACACGAAATTTAACCGAGACTTACAGAGATTCAAATCCCACCAAGAAATTAAGAAGACCCTTATCGCCAAAAGCTTCATAGATCATCAACTTCGCTTCAGATCTCAAGAAAATCAAGAAAACCAATGGGGGTACGTCTATAGAGTATAATACTACCAAACATACAAAGAAAGCTTAGTTATACAAAGAAAAAAGAGACCCNCTAGTGGGGGTACGTCTATAGAGCAATGTTATTAGAACCAGACCGGTCATCGAATCAGTTAAGGAACTGGGTCAATGGTTCTGAGAGTCAATTGGTCGGACCGATAATATAATAAAAAAATATATTTAATAATTATAAAACATCATAGTTTAGCTAAAAAATATAAAACATGTCTAAAATACATCAAATTTGTCATAAAATATCATTAATTGGGTTTGCAGATAGATATCCACCGGACCAACTTGAGAAAAAGTAATCAAACCATAACTCTCCCACTGCTTCTCTCTGCCAACCCAAGAACAGACCACTCACAAATTCACTCCAATCCCTCGTACAGAAAAGCACTGCACATATAGAAACTTCACAAACAGGCATAAAGATTGTATCTTTTCATTCTATCTTGAGAAAAAAAGTTCATGAAATAAATGCAGAAAGACAGCAACATCCATTGAGACCGAGAGAGAAAGAGAGGGTTTAAAATCCAAGGAGCTCTCGCTAATCAAGAATTTAATACTGATGCACAAAAATAGATTCGTCAAAACTGGCTACCATGATGCATTTTTATTGTAAACCCACTCCATTTTTTTTTTTTTTTGTCATTAATCAGTACTTTTTGTGTGTTTTATTGGCAGATTTGCAACAGGATATGAAGGTCACCTGAGTGATAGCCTGAGTTGTCGCCTGAGACGAAGCTGCTCGCTGCCGCTGCCTTACTGTCGCTGGAGAGAGAAGAAGCTGCTGTCTTCTGCTTCTGCGAGATTTAGGGCAAAATTAAAAAAAGCTGCTGCGTTCAATTTCACGGTTCTCTCAAAAATCGGCCAATTTTGTGGTGTTCCGGTTCCTTTCCTTATCCGGTTCAATTAGTTAATCAGATCGGTTAATGTTGAATCAGCCGGTCTAATTCTATTTATTGAACCAGCCGGTCTAATCCGATTCGGCTTTAATAACACTGTTACAAAACATACAAAAAAAGCTTAGTTATAAAGAGAAAAAAGAGACCCAAAAAAGGGTAAGTTTAGGGCAGATTGATATAGAAAAAACAGTGGATTCGTGGGCCAGATTCCAGCAAGTAACGGCGGCGAAGAAACGAAGATTCCGTCAAATCGCCGACGAGAAATATGAAGTTAAAATATGATAATGTAATGATTACGGAGTGAAACTAAGCGCAGTTAAAGTAGTATTTAATACTGGTGGGAACCAACGGTGCGTGATGCGCATACGGCAATACCCAACCCCTTTACCGTATTCCTAAACTCCCACCTCAATGGGTGTATGGGTGTGTTTGGTTGTGGAGAAAAGTGGACCTTGATAAAGTATTTAAATTAATAGCATATGGTATTCAATAATGTTTTCTTTGGTGTTTGGTAGCACAAAAGAAAAAAAAAAGAAGTTTTCTTTCTTTTTTTTTAATAGTGAAATTTTAGGGCAAGAATAAAGTGGTACATAATTTTATTTGAAAATTAATAGTTGTGAAATTTTGGAGAAACATTAATTGTTCAGACATTAATTAGAATAGTACGTTTAGTAGGATGGATGAAAAAATAAAATGATAGAAAGTGAGAGATACATTTTTTATTCTTCAATAGAAGAGTCATTCATTCCCTCCTTTGTATTTGTTAGGAGGAAGAAAAATAATAATTGTTATTATTTTTATATGAGACTCGAACCTTGAATTAGGGGGTAAGGTGGAAAAGACACTAAACACTAGGTCATTCATCTTTGCTCATTTTTTGTTGTGTTTAATAAAATAAAAAGTGAAAGGATGAAAAAAGTATAGATATATTTTACTATTGTATCTATATATAAAATTAATGTGTACATAATATGTAATAGATAAATAGGATATATACACATATTAAAAGATATAAAGGTAAATATTATATATTTTAACACAAATAATTAATTTTTTTATCTACTTTTCTTCATAATTTTAGAAGGATAGTCAAATGTTCCATCATTCTTATTTTCTTTTTTACCAAACATCATATATTAATTTATCCTTTTAACCTTTTATTCTTTCATTTTTTTGTCATATTATACAAAGCATAACGGGTGACATTTGCCTCTAAAATAGAATTGTAGTGTTAATTGTATGAAATGATGCTTGAAAGGAAACCGGATTATTACGTGCAAGGCTACATGGGAAGATTCGAAATAGAACAATTCGTAATATTTTATTTATGATGAGTTGTAAATTTCTAATCCTTCTCCTCCCATAAGAAGTTATGTCAACAATAACGGGCTAATTATTTACTTTGATATTCATGGTATGTTTTTGAACATTACTTACTGTGATAGGGAAATCCCAAGTAAAAAATTTAATGATTTATTTGAACTTATAGTTAAGGTATTCAGACCAATTTACACGTATCTCGATTAATTTTTTCTTCAATATGATGAAAGATAAGACAATTCGTGCCGAGACTAGAATATAAATGAAGGATCCCAAAAAAATTACCAAAATTTTAACTTAGAATATTTGGGATTATAGTTCATTTCTATTACTACTTGAGCTACTCTTAGAATTGTTTAATTTATTTATGTGTAAATAAAGAATCAAGGTACACAATTGTCACAATCATTATCGTTGCCACCAGTGTTGTTTCAACCACCATTATTACCACTACCATCACGACTCACATTAATCTGTTTAATTAGTTAAGTGATGTATCTCGAATCGCTTACTTACGACCCACAAAAATAAATTTGATATCAAACCCATTAATTTACACTAACCGGATAACCGGTTATATTAAGATTTGACACTCTTATAATCATAGTCATGACACTGAGCCTCCAAGAAATATTGCCTCTCTGTTATATGCAAAGATTTTCTGCATATGATAACAACAATAGGAAGGAGAATTCATGACGAACCTTCACTATCACAGCCAGGTTAAAACTAGCTAAAGCTCCTAAGTTCCATTTTTGCGTCTTATGGAACTTACGTTGTTGTCCTAACTTCTCTCATATTGTCATATTTTTATTTTATTTTTTTGGCTCAGTAAAAAGGGTTCGAGGCAAGAGGGAAGCTCACCAGTGGAGTCTAGATGAAGAGAAATTACAGACGCTCTCAAAGGCTAATAACTCGAGTCATAGCTTAATCCTACGCTATAAAGTTCTCCCACAGTGAGTCGTTCGGAGTTGTAGCGCACCAGAGTGGACACACACATGCAGCAGGTTCTAAATAACCTTTCTTTCACGATTAAAAAAGTTGTTAACGATTTTGAAAACCTCCATATCGTCCACCGAAACGTGTATTGATTACAACCAACTTGCTTGTCTCTTTCTTGATCCAAAAACCAACCTTACTCAATTTGTTCTTGCATATAGGAATTACAGAAATTCACCCAAAAAAACGCTAGTTAAGGAATTATCATTCCAAGTTATTATTCTTAACATTGGCATGACTGCTTAACTCAAGCAATCGTGTAGCTTGGGGGGAAGGGAGATCTTTAGGGTACGTAAGAATCAGTAGTTAAAGAGGGGTAACTCTGATAGGATAGGATAAAAAAGTATGTGAGGCTCATATATCTCATATTTGATAAGTAAAAAATACATCAGAAATTTCATTAGAATTTTAACTTCCCTCTATTTAAAAAGTCAATTTTAACTCATCTACATGGGTTAAATGAAACCAAAGGGGGGTGCTGAGATTTTTTTTGCTAGACAAGATAACTAATACAAATGACCAAACTATCTTGTTATCTTCTCCTTCTATCTCTCAGCTTCGTCTCCTACTCCTATTTTTTTTACGTATCTGATTTTTTTTTCCATCAAATTTGTTTTGTCAAAGCAAGGATCTGTCAACATACCTCAAGAAGGCCAAGACTTCTTCTGCAACAAAACGACTAATTTAAATAATAAACTAACTTTAATAAAGTAATATCCTATTTAGACTAAGATTAGTTAACTAATTAATGAGAGCTTGAGTTAATTCTTAATAGTCCTTGTAACATATGAACACCCATCTAGAGGATATGAAATTACAACATTTTTAAAAATTACATATAGGAAAATTTTGTTTCAAATTGGTTAAAAGTTAATTTATAAACCAAACATAGTGTTGAATAGATAGGTTAGGGGTAAAATAATCAATCATACCATATTGCAGTACCCTTCCCATAGGTCCCATAGAAATACTCATGCGTTATTCAAACACTGGATGATAAAATATAGTCAATGAATTCTAACCAGCCCAATAATATGTGAATTTGAAATTTTAACCAATACAATAATGGGTAAGTTTGAATTGAATAGGAAATGATATTTCTTTGAATTTTCAATCCAGACTAACCTTATCATTCAACGACACCCTAAATATCATGATCAAATAGTAACTAATTCGTTGTCTTGCTTGGATTTTGGTCTATAAAGGAAAGGTGATTGACTAGGGTACCAACTACCAAGATTCAAAATTTCAGTATCATATTAAAATTTATCACATTTATGGCAACATTCATAACAGTGGTAAAAATATTCACAAATGTAATAAAAACAGTTACAAATATGATAAATCACTACAAAAGTGATAAATTTTTTTATACTTATGAAAAGTGGTAAAAATAGTTATCACAATGTAATAAAAACATCCACAACAATAATAAAAAAAACTCATAAAAGTGATAAATCAACCACAAAAGTAATAAATTTTTTGATTGTAAAATGACCCACAAAAATTATAAAAACAACCTTTTGAAATAATAAATTTTAGAGGTATAGTACCAAATTATTTTTGATGGTACCTTAGTCAAGTCCTTAAGGAAAACCACAATGGCTTATGAGACAGACATCATACAATAAAATGAGAAATATTATTTGTACCTAAAAATCTGATCTAATGATGTAACTTCAGTGGAACTATTGAATCAACACAAAATTTTAATTTTTAATGGAGTCTACAATCAATTCAAATATCATAATAAATTAGATCAATAAATTAAATGTCAATAACATTACTCCAATAAAATATGATCAAATGAGCAGGCTTGGAATTGACATCAGATCTTTAAAACAGTCTCTCTACCCATTTCGTGTGTGTGTGTGTGTGTGAGAGAGAGAGAGAGAGAGAGAGAGAGAGAGAGTATGGTTGTTTTGTATTAATGTGGACTTGTTTGTTGGGCACATTAGTAAAGCACAGCTATCGATTCCTTGAGGTAGGAATTTGATAACTGGGGAGAATCTACGGTACCGAAAGTCAACATTCGGTATGGTACCGAAAACATGCGGAGAGCCGTTGATTTCTGCTCATTAGTGTACAATCATTGATCTGTTGATTTAATTTTTTTTGATGTAAACCTATAACTTGCTCAACCAGTGAATACCAGGTTATTAAGATCGATCGTACATTTACATGATCGATCAAATTTTTGGTTCTTTGTACTTATGTTACTACCTTTGTGGGGGGATGTCTTACCTATGGGGGAAATAAGATTGTGGGATCGATCATACACATTAAGGATCGATCCTAAGGTTATATATTGAGATCAAAATAATGGACAGTATGATTGATCTTTATTATTTACGATCAATCATATATTTACAAGATCGATCTAAATTTTTTTCCTTTGTACATATGTTACAACCTTACTGGGAGGGGGGGAGCGTCTTTCCTACGGGGGCAATAAGGAAGTGGGATCGATCATACACAAGAAAGATCGATCCTAATGTTATATACATTGAATTCTGGAGATCAAAATAATGAATAGTATGATCGATCTTAATTATATACGATC